GGTCGATTTTACAATCATCGGTTAATTCTTAACTATAGAATATAAAATATACAGTTAGCAGTTTTCAGTATGGAAGGATTGTCAAATATTCATACGTATTCCTCTAATAAAATTTAAATGGCCTTGGAAAAATCGGCCCTTAGTGTTCAATCATAGAGAGTGATTAGTTTCAGGCTCATTAAAGCGCCAAGTCAAAATAGAAGCACATCAACCTATAGCCAACTTATAGCTATTAGGTACTGACTCGGATGTAAAATAGAGTACTTTACTTTTTTCGTCGCCAGATGTAGTGGGTGCTGGTCACACCTGGTTCCGTCAGAAGCGCACGGAATTTGAACGTGTCCTTTGTAGGTAAAAAGGAATCTTAATTTTACTTGCCGTTGGTAGGGAATGCAATCTTGGACCGAGATTGACTATTTAACATCTTGGCGTCATTTTTCTGCATCAAGATTGGTCAGTTCGAGATTAAGCGAAAATCTTGATCACAAATCAAAATTTGTGTATCAAATACTGAAAATTGATAGTAAATAGTATTTTAATATTATGTAGGTAATATAATTAAGAATATTTTTCAAATTAAACAACATTGTATGAACACAATAATCAACGTTTATTTTAAAAATGAACAAGAGTCAATCAAAACTTTAGTGACCTAAATGAAATAAATGCAATAAAGCAATGAGATCACAAATTATCTTTATAAATAAATATGAATTTGGTTTATGTATGTATTTTGTAATAATGGCGGGGTGGCTGGACAACAGGCTGCCGCGCAACGTGCAGCAGACTCGATTCCTGCACGGAGCAACTCTTAGTGTGAGCCATAAATTGTTTTTTCGAGTCTGGGTGTCATGTGTATATGATATTGTATGTTTGTAAACGCACACACGACCCAGCAGAAAATCCTAGTGTGGGGCAAAAAAATTAAATATAAAAAAATAAAAAATCATTAGCTATGTAAGCTTTGATTATTATAAGGTCTAGATGGAGTTCATGGAGTGTAGGTTCACGAAAAGGGTTTCAGAATTTACAGTAAACTGTTTACTGCAATGCACCTTCACGTCATGTAGTACTAATCGTGTCACCTTAAATTATATGCCCAGATAGAGCGTCACCACACAATAGCAACAAAAATGAAGTTGCAAAAAAAAACAACTTTATAGCCCCGGGTTTCCTATGTATGCTTTGAACGTAAGTAATTCAAGAGGACCAAGGTAGGGGAGCGGTGTGCGTAAGGCCATTGTCTTGGCTCCACCTTGGTGATATTTAATTCCCATGAATGAACAACGCCAGTCATCGACCGAGGTCACGGCGATTTTTTACCTGTAGTGATGTAATTTTTCATACAAATCACATTCACACCTTCGTAAGCAACGCTAGCTACCTAGTTATAATATTGTTTTGTGTTATTTTCAAACTCGTGATATTTTTATTGAGATCTATCTGAGTCTCTGTGAAATTTATCTTAACGTAAAAACGAGGCGGGAGTTTTCAAATGACTATGAAAGTCGAGCATGCGCACTACGTTATCACGAACGACATCGTGAACTTCGTGACTTCTCGTACCAATACGCGAACGCAAAGCAAGGCTTCTCACAAACGCAGTTTATTTACGCCGTGCACGGAAGGTGTCGGTTCGTGTCTTATAGAAACCTATTTTTGTAGTTAACCTCACTTCTTTTATGTGATTCATCATTTCGTTAAAAGTTAAATAGTGTTGTGCTAAGTACTATTGTGATTTTGTTGGTCTTTAAGTACCTTCTTACTTGTAAAACGGACAATGCAGGTACTGTGATCAAGTATGTTTCAAAATGTAGACTTATCTGTGTATTATAAGATCGATAAACATTTCAAAACAAGCGAAGTGCCCCACAAATGTTATTAAAATGGATAATTGTTTTACTGCCTGCGGCAGTGCCGACGACATAACAAAAGCCGACTTGGATCGTTTCACGGACAAAATCGAAAATGTTCTTAACGACGAAAAAGGTAGAAAATTATTCAGAAATTTTATGTCTACTTCAAAGTTCAAAGCTGGAAAAAAAGCACTGCTTGTTTGGGAGCATACAGAAAGATTGCTTAATTACAAAGAGAATGCTGAGAGCGGCTCGCAAACTCACCGCAATTATCTGGATGACGTACTCGACTTGTTAGATAAAGCTGAAAGAATAGAAGAAATCGATTTTGTTACTATGGAGAGGCTGACCACAGCTGTACAAGAAGATAATAGGGAAGGAATTGTCGAAGGATTAGAATTATTGAAAGTGGAGACGACGAAAGCACTTAGAAGAGAGTACACGAAGCTAAGAGAGCATTTAATAAAGTTTAGATAAATAAAAAAGCTTACAATAAAATTGTGCCTTCTGTTGTATTTATATTAACTGCTGGTTCTCAATAGTTTTTGAAAGAAGAGTAAAGGTCAAAGTTAAGACAAATAGAAGACTTATGAAGTACAAACTACGCCCAATAATATACGAGTACCTATGTAGTTCACAAATTCACGATTTTCCCGCATGAAGTGCCAGGCAGTACCGGGTATAGGTACATACCTAGACCTACCTACCATAGATTTAAAACTTCGCGCCGATTTGTATGCTCAAATTGAGAGCAGCGAGAGCTTCTTCATGTTCATATTTATTAAATATTACCTTTGCTTATTATTGTCCATATAACATGTTTGGATAATGTACATCTATTTTTATACCTATTATCTTAGTACACTTGTCGGAAGAATTAAAAGGATATAATACTTGTCAGGAATTAATATTGAAATTCCTTACTATTTTTTATTAAGCTAGCAGCCTAGCACTAGTACCTACCTACGCCTACTACCTAGATTAATGAAGCTAGCACCTAGGTTATACTATTATTTGTGAATGTCGATGTTAATTTTACATTCTTATTCTTGTTATGTTTCTGTTAAGAATAAAATATTCAGTTGCAAGTGTGAATCTTTTCGATTTATTTGTATTTTCATTTTCCTTTCAGTCCCACTTGTTTTATAAATTAAATGATCTAATAGATCGTGAGATGCTAGATTTTTTGATTCATTCGTATTTATTTTCGTATAGGTATGTTGATTCACCAGGATGTGACATGTGACATCTGGCGGCTCTACCGCCGTGTAACTGTGTCAACTGAATAAGAATAAATATTTTGTGCTTTTATCTAACAGGTGATGGGCTGACTGACATTTGGTTCCTACATATAGAAAGTAAGATATTCTGTACTTCGACCTCGTATTTAATTGAAATTCTATCAAGTGTTTTGTGAACACTTCATCGTAACTCGATCTTCAGTAATTTAGATCATATTATGTTGCGGGCACCGTTTGATTATCTACTAATGCTACTCCCGTCCCGTCGCAGTTTCACCCGCTGTTCGGCTCCTATATATCGTAGCGTGTTGTTTTATAGCTTATATCCTCCCTGGATGAAATGGACTATAGAACAAAAAAAAATCAATTCGGACTAGTAATTTCTGAGATTAGCGCTTTCAAACAAATTCTTCGGCTTTATATAACTTAATAAGTATTTAAGAGTACTAGCAACTTCCGCGCGGTTTCACACGCTCTGCTCAGCTCCTATTGGCCGTAGCGTGATGTTTTATTCTCCCCATCCTCGATAAATGCGCTGTCCAACACAAAAAGAATTATTCAAATCAGACTTGTAGTTACGGAGATTAGCGCGTTCAAACAAACAAACAAAAAAACAAACTCTTCCGCTTTATATACTACATAGTATAAAACAAAGTCGCTATCCGCCGTCTGTCTGTCCCTATGTATGCTTAGATCTTTAAAACTACGCAACGGATTTTGATGCGGTTTTTTTAATAGATAGAGTGATTCTTAAGGAAAGTTTATAATTGTAATACATGCATATTGGACCCGTGCAAAGCCGGGGAGGGTCGCTAGTAATAGTATAAGATAAGATGATACTTTTACAGATCACTTCCATGCTCTAAGTTAGCAGTGCAGTAACAGTAGGTACGCAGGGCGCATAGTTATTATCTACATACAGGTGTACCATGTGTATAAGGAAAATCATAACGTAAATAGGTATTAAATTATTTCCATTTTACAATAACATATAAAAGGAAAACAATGGTTTGGCAACGATAACTGTCTACAGGACATACCTACAATGAACTGCACCACCTTCATATACCTACTAGTAGAATGATTTTCAATATAATTTCGTCTGTATTTGTGCTCCTGACTCCGAAATATTTTTATATTGTATACTAGTTGACGGACCAGCTGTAAATCCTTAGTAAATAAAAAAAAAAATAAAATAAATAAATCTATAAATTATACCTTATACTTTATAGTTAGGATAAATTACTTCTACATAATACACTATTTTTGTGTTAACACAAAATGTGCATATTACGGCACTTAATACCACTGTACAATGTAACACCCACTTTTCACTATTTATATTATGAGGCCCTTGTTTGTTTAAACTGTCAAATACCAAGCGGTCACCGGTGACCGCAACCTATTGTTCTATAATTGTGTCTGCAAAACCGGTACTCGACGAGTTAAATTACTTCAAAACCAATAGAAAATTAAATCAGTAAGTAATCGATATTGTTCCTATAAACATTAATGTGCTACCAAATCTGAAGTGCAGGTTTGTTAGAAAAGACAATACGTCATAATAATAAAAATTCATTATTATTTATTTGTCATTTTAATAAAAAATGTCCAATAATTGTACAATACATTTTTTATTTAAATAGATTAGTGTCCTATTAAAATTCAATTCATATTATTATTATTATATCAAATGACTGTAAGTACTGTATTCAATATGCTTTAAAATTACTGTAATATTCTATGGAATGAGTACTAAAATTCTGATCCTTCAATACCGATTAATTTATGCAGCTCAATACAGACAAAAAAATAGAAATTATAAAATATTTACAATTTTCAATTGGAATCCTAATATTTAAAACATTAAAATCAATTCTGAATACTTAAAAATATGATACAATTCAATGAATAAAAACAAATGACAGCTTATAACTAAATAGTAACTTAAAATATTTCTTTATATTGAGATATATTTAAACGATATCACAATTATCAAGAGTCCATGTCTCCATTTAATCGTGTTCATATTCAGTTCAATAAAAATTATTTATAAATACTTTATCACTGCACTTCCATTTCATTATGTAACTAAAATGTTGCTTAAATCTAAGTTTTCTTCCAGGAGTAGTACATTTCCAGAGGTTTGTTTACCTGAAGAATAAACAGGGTTATATTTACAGCAAGGGATATAAACAAGGAAAGGATGTTATTGTCCAGATTAGAACTGCATTCCGTATAACATTGTGTTTAATATTATTATGTTATTCTTACATAAATAGACTTGTGGATGGTCACTAATGCAATTGACAAGCAATAAGTATAGTCTGTTTCTTTATTCCCAGGTATTAGGTAAAATTTATATTTATAATTTAGACTTTTTTAGATTTCGAAAATTCTTAGTTTAAAAAAGAAAAGACTGGAAATGTTGCTAGAGTATGATAATTATTTTTATATGAGACTCATAAAATAGATGCCGAAAAAAGAGTTTCGTATTCATAACATTACATCTTCAGGGAAGAAGTTATGTTGTTGTTTATAAATAAATAATTGAGATTTATTATGTTCAGTAGAACAGTACTGAAGTTTATGTGTTATCTAGTTACATAAATAAATAGAATTCGAGTTGTTAAATCCACTAAGAAAATATTTACCTTCCAGAATTTATCATTGATCTGGCGTAGAGTCTGTGAGCCGGCCAATGGCACGAACTGACCGGGCGCCGGGGCAACATAAATACAGAAGTTAAGCAAACGATAGGCCTCTGGCAGTTCTGCATCCAAGTCGAGGGTGAGACGCATCGCCAGATACTTGCTTAGGTGGTCCACTGGAAACATAGTCATAAGATTTGAGTTCATTTTACTGCTTCATGGATTAACTTCTTGTATATGAGACACAATAGAAAACACATTGTCTCGTGTAGATCTGTGTTCACACATACCAAAATGGTTAAATGATATTAAGTACATCTTCATTCAAATAAGGTTTGAAAAGATAAATTATTTGATTAGGAAAACAGTTAATTTAATTTAAATTACAATTAACTTCATAGATTCCTTAGACAAAAATAAAATAATTCGAGGAGACCTTAACTTAACCTTAATAAACACTAGTTACGTCACTCTCAGTACAAGACATAGACACTATTATATTTTTAAAGTTTATACAGTACAGCAATCAATTGCTTAATTTTATAACAGTAGTAGCAACACTTACCGGAGGCATTTGCAGTGGTCTTCAAGTATCTCACTGAGCTGTCTCGGAGAGCTCGCATCAGTTGGTTGTCTCCTGTCATTTCAGTGGGATGTGGCTTGAAGACCAGCTCTATTTCATTAGGGTTCAGAGGCTCACCCTCTCCTTCTGTATCCATCGAGTTCTCTCCTTCAGTCCTGGAACACATTACAACAAATAAGATATTAACATATTCCCAGTCTGTATCACATCCAAATCTTTTATACTTTTAACTTTTTGAGTACCGTCATTATAGACACAATCAAAGAACAATAGTTAGCGGTCACTGGTGACCGCTCGGTATTTGACAGTTTAAAGCCTGATGAATTGTGATTCAATTAGGAGAGATAGGTATTGATGTTTTTATCTTATAGAAAAAGGTGTTAATAAAGAATGATAAAAGCACCACAATTTTTTTCATTTTCAGATGGTTACGTATTGAAACAACTATATCTATGTTTTATAAGTAAAGATAAACAAATAGTAGTCCAACCTGCCATCACTAGATTCACTCTCCTCACTGCGCTCTGATGTTAATATAGACTTGGCTCTTTTAGTGGTGCTTGTGTTTTTTGACACGGAGCTGATATTGGATGGCACCGGAGATGGTGTGCTCCTCACACTCGCGGGGTTGGAAGTGGACTGGCCTGAAGGGGTCGGGTTGCTCATTGACGAGGATCCATCTTTGGGAGCAGCCGGAGCTGTTCCTGAACTACCATTTTGAGCATTTTCCGTGTTACCATTCGAGTTAGATGTATTACTATTTTCCTCGTGATTCTTTCTAGATCTTTGAGGCCTATTTTGAGATTGCAACTTTATTCCCTCAGTAATAGAGTTCACTAGCGACGCCTGCGAGTGCGACATACTCAGCTTAGTCAACAAACGCTCCTGATGAGCTTCGTACTCGTCTCTGCTGGGGTATATCTTTGAGATCAACAAATCAAAGTTAGGGTCAGGCCTCAGGGACCGTTTGGACACCAACTTCTTTCGACATGTAGGACATTCTTTATTGCCCGAACGAAGGGCAGTTATAATACAATCGTTACAGAATCTGTGGAGGCATTCTTTCGTAGTCATGGTTTTTTTGAGCATGTCTAAGCAAATTGGACACATCAATTCACTATGTAAACTGCGGGGGGACACCGCGATTTCAGTGGCGTCCGTAATGACCTCCTGCGGTGTTCGGTGAAGCTCATACAGGGAGAGCTCCCAGGTTTTATTCTGGGAAGGCTCTGTGGATGACATCGTCACGGTTTTGTAATATCACACCAAATAATTAATTAACTCTAATATTTTCGTAAATAATAACTTGCACTCCAACCACCATGTTGGCTTAAACACTAGTGATGTGCTTCGTTCACTTAACTGTCATTTCTTTGTGACGTTTTAGGGATTCCGTAACATTAATCGACTAAAATAGCATAGACAAGAGATCATAAAGTTCTGATCGAAAATAGATAGAGGGCGCTCAATTATTTTTTGAATCAAAAAATATGATTTTGTTTTAGTTGTTTCGTGCAGATGTAGTTTTAATTGAATACGTAAAATAATTTTAGCGGTATTGAATTGTGTTCCAACACATAAAAAATGTTTTGCTCAAAATAAGGTGAATAATTATACATAATTATTTAAAAAACTAAATAAGTATTTATTAGTTTTATAAATTTGTAATAAAGTAGGAATAGGACTCAGCGAATAAGCTAATTATTATATTATCGTAACTTTCTGTTTTAGTGCTTGGTAATCTAGTTGGAGGTCTCTTTTTCAGTTGGCGAACTTTCTTGTGACTAGTCGATCAAAGAAATAGTTAATTGAATACATTAAGTAAATTCCTAGTATATGAATAATTAAAAAAACATTATATAAAAATTAAGCAGCAAGGTTTATTATTATTAATTAGGTATCACTCAATTATTAATGAATGAATGGAAACAATCTGGAATTTTTATTCCATTCAAACCTCTAAAGATGCCTCTTCTATGGAATACAAAAAGAAATAAACAGCTAAGTAATAAGAATCTATGTATGATATACCTACCCAAGTAGTAAATGCAATGACCGCACACGGTGCTTCTATGGTTACATTGTAGGTAGATAGTTGTCAGGTACACAATATCTTACAAGTAGATACTTATAATGTTTATTTGATTTGGTTTGTGAGGTATAAAACACAAAGTAAACAAAACCATTTAGTTAAAAATGTCGAGAATATGTGCGCTAATGATCTCTAAGCTATAAACCTTTTCCCACGGGGATTCCGAACTATTACAGGACAGCGGGAGGTTTAACACCACAGGTAACGTAGTACCGGATTATTAACATGATTCATCTAATATGATAAAGTACTTCATTATAGTAAGTTTAGTACTGGAACTTGGAGTAGGTTGTTAGGTTCAGAGCCCATATCTTTTTATATCCTAATAATTTACATTTCATATTCAAATTCTTGTTCGGGCGTTTAGAAATAGTAACGGCGAGTTAAAATACAGTCGTTCAAAATTAATTAAACTAGCTATTTATTGCAAATAAATATTCCCTACGATAATAAAGCGACTATAATATTTCTAGTTTCCTGTGCTCAATATGATCGGGTTGGAATTACTTGACTGTACAGGGATTAAGTAAGAGCCTCCTGGATTACTGTTTACAGCGTTCTGTGCATTCAGAGGTATCAGAGTGTAGACCGTAGAGCCCGCTCCTTGTAACTGATTGCCATTCGAAGGATTGCTGGCAAATATCACTTGAGCAGGTTGCACTTGGTTCGGTTGCTGCTGAACGTAGATTGGTGCACTGGATGCGGCCGATGGTTGTTGAACCAACAATATGGACGGGCTACCTTGTACATTTGGTTGATTAGCCATAACCACAAGGGGCTGGTTTGAGTCACTGTTTGCCGACAATGGTTCTTGCGTGTACACCACATTGGGCTGGTTGGATATTACAGGTTGCACGCTTATTGGTTGGCTGTTACTCAAAGGCTGGTTGGTCAATACCGGCACGTCGTTGCCCAAACGTTCCTGGACCAACAATGGTTGACTGTTTGTTGGTTGTTGGACTTGGGCAGGCTGGTTAGTCAGTACTGTTGGTTGGTTCTGGACCGGGTACGATTGCGATTGGTATTGTGGTTGGTTCGTGTTGACTGGCTGGTACTGCGGCTGGTTGGAGTTGATTGGTTGGTAGCTCGGCTGGTTCGTGTTCACAGCTTGGTACTGTGGTTGGTTTGCAGCAATCGGTTGGTAGCTGGGTTGACTCTGTACAAACTGTTGTGGGGAGTTGGCGTTGGCTCGGTCCTGCAGGTCTTGGAAGGCATCGGATGGGATGAAGACGCCTGTGATTAAGTTCTTCCCTTGTGAGTTGCTCGGCATGCTGTATACTACAGCTGCGACTCCTAGCACCATAATCTGGAAACAATATTATAAATTAATTATTTACGTTTGAAGTGTTTTTTAATTATTTGGACAATGGAGGTAAAATACATGGGTAGGTAAATGCAAGAAGAAGTGGTTTATGAAATACCAAGATTGGCATCAAAAAGGTCGAACCGCATCCTCCTAAACTAAGTGAGTATAGTTCACAATACAATCAGCACTGTACACATAAAACTGTTGCGAATAAACGCCCAAAATGGTTTCTTAAGAAACGAACAGTGTGATGTTAGCTAGTCGGTAGTATAGTTTAGGTCACTCACCAAATGCATTGCTTTCATGTTGACGCCACAGAGCACTCTGATAGTGTACCTAATTAATGTTGTATTTATATCACAACAGTTTCACCGTTAACGTGATAAACTAATGACTTGTTAATTGCTGTTACTAGTGGTCATTTAAAACTATTTTTCATTTGCGGTTAAAATACACCGATTTAATTCCGTTTTTGGGAATTACGAATTCCTTTGGGACTTCCCCGGTAGGAAAGTTTGGTGGTAATTTCTTAGGTACCTAAGTAATTAATTAGAAATTACTTAAGTATTACAAGTAGACAGCAGTAATGTCGTATTTAAATAACATGTTTATTGATAACTAATCTTATTGTGACGACATTTTGTAATAATTAATTGTGGATGTAATTTATTTCGTCACAACTTTATTTCCGATTAGGTTTCCAAGCCATTTTAATCTAAAGATGTTCCACGATGAAGAATAGGAAGGAATATAATAAACGCAAGTACGATGTGATTAATAGAATTCTAAACATAGACTGAAAAGCAATTTTATTTAGGTATCCCGTCATTTCAACGAAGGATACTGATTAAGCGCACTATGTATGCGTAAGCGCTGCACTGACTACGCCTGCGTCGAAGTACACATAGCTACACATGGACCCGACGGCCTGCATGGCAAGGCATGGGTCCTGGCCTCAGAGGCTCTCGGGCCTCGATTGATTGGTCTCTACAGCGCATGTCTGGAGAGAGGCCAGTTCCCGCTTCTCTGGAAAGCGGGCAAACTGGTCCTCGTGCGGAAGACGGGGCGCCCTGCGGACTCTCCGTCCGCGTACCGGCCCATAGTGTTGCTCGACGAGGTGGGGAAAGTCTTCGAAAGAATCATTTCGAACCGCCTCGTCGCGCACCTGACGGACATTGGGCCGGACTTGTCGGACGGCCAGTTCGGCTTCCGCAGAGGGCGCTCCACGGTGGACGCCATCATGCGCGTTAGAGACCTCACGACGGGGACTGCAGTGTCCAGGGGTAAGGTCGTAGTGGCGGTGTCTCTGGACATCGCCAACGCCTTCAACTCCCTGCCCTGGAGCTGCATCTTGGAGGCACTCCGATATCATCGGGTGCCTACCTACCTCCGTCGTGTAATCGAGGCTTACCTGACGGACAGGTCCGTCAGCTACCCCGGTCACCGGGGCGAGTGGAACCGGCGAGAGATGTCACGCGGTGTTCCACAGGGTTCGGTTCTGGGGCCGCTCCTGTGGAACATCGGCTATGACTGGGTGCTGCGCACCGACCTCCCGAACGGCGTTAGCACAATATGCTACGCCGACGATACGCTGGTGCTAGCGCACGGGAGGTCACACCAGGCGGCGGCCGACTTAATGGCGACAGCGGTTGCGACAGTCGTTGAGAGAATCCGGCAGTTGGGACTCGAGGTGGCGCTCCACAAGTCCGAGGCCATGTGTTTTCATGGCCGCGGGAACGCGCCACCTCCGGGTGGGTCCCAAATAACGGCGGGAGGAGTTACCATCGGCGTCGAGACGACGATGAAGTACCTAGGACTCGTCCTCGACAGTCGGTGGAACTTCATTGAACACTTCCGACGTTTGGCTCCAAAGTTGG